TCCAGGATATGAAACAACTTCCAAACTTTTATGCTTTGCTATGAGAATTGATTTTCAAAATGTTTCCAAGTATTAACTACAACAGTCTCAATGCCGAGAGAATGAACTGGTTACTTTATTACGTTGGTGGGATTACCTTCCTTATCGGAGTGTAGAAGGAGATTATTTTTATGAAGATTTCAGAATACTTGAAACACCCCATTATCTAGAAAATCCACTTAAAGGAATCGTGGCATCACCCGGTGCATCCTCTGGCTAATTCTTTCCTTCTCCTTTAATACTTAGTGGTCAGGTGCATATCCCAATCTGTGTCCAGGTCTTGTCTTCACAAATCAAAGGAAGATTTAGAACTTAGAGAAATTTCCCAGAAGAAATCACTGAAACAATAAAAGTTCTGTATTAGAAAATAATAAGTCTTTAAAATTGCTAAAACACATACAGTTAAAACTGATTTAAACTTGGAAATTATTCGAAGACCTCATTGTCACGGTCCCTCATTCCCCATCAGGACAGCATCACCTGGTCTGAACTGCATATGTCTCTGTGGTAAGGTACAGGGGTCACCTTGTGAGACTTAGTGAAAGCTGGGAAGGTGTTTTGGGGAGACCGTAAAAGTCACTTGTTGAAAGCCTTCCTAGAATGAACTAAATAGGTAATAAAAGGAAACTTTTTGGACCTAATATTAAATAATTACTGTCACAATGTTTTAAGATTAATTCTAAATTCTTCCTTTTCTATTTCTTATAAGAAAATTGGAGGGTTTCTTCTTTAGGAGAAAAGAAAATATTTAAAAATATTTATATGAATATTTTCTATTCTGCTTATTCATTTTCAGTGGATATATTACTGGGAAAATGTGCATAAAGGCATAGCTGTGATAAATGAATTTTTATATTCTGTTAATTGGATGAGTAAGGTACTGTGGGTAAAGAGTAGATTTTTCTCAGATTGGATTTTTTTTTTTTTAATCATAGAACATATTCAAAATATAATGACCCTGGAAGAGTCTGTTCAACATGTGGTCATGACTGCTATTCAAGAGGTAAGTTGTATTATGTTCATGTTACGTGTGGAAATTCTAAACCAGATTGCATGATAGTTTTTATGTGAATTTTATGGCTACGTGTTTTTCCTTGTATAAACTTCCCCTTCGTAGCAGGTTTACTTACCTTTTAGCCAGTGAGTCTCCCTCCAGCCCTCAAGTATCTTAAAAGGCCTCCACGCTTAATTTTACTACCTGGATGTTTCCACAGTTGGTTGATAACTTAATACTGTCAGGTTCCTTCAAATAACTTCAACTATGCTGAAAAAGTAGGGTGAACAACCTCTGATCAGACGGGAATTTTTATTTCTTCTGTTTTCCTGCCAATTTCAGCAGTTTTTCCTGAGGTTTTATTTTACATAGACCATATGCATTTTCAGAATGTTCCATATGCGAGCAAGGGTGGTGGCCTTAGTCTTGGAGCCAGGTAACTGGCAAGTGTAGTTATCTAAGTTGAGCCGGGATCCAGAATCCACATAGTGTGGTATTGATGTTTCATATGAGGCTAACGGGCTGAGATGAAGTGGAGTGCAGAGGAGACAGGAGGAGAAAGTAGGATTAGGGGCGGGTAAGGAAAACAGTTTGGGTGGAACATTATTTAGAGGGAAATATCACACTTCCACAGTCCGTATGCTTTAAATTTGCACTGTTGATTTGACTCCAAAGCATAACTATATGTAAATAAACGTGCCTTTCATATGCATAAAAGGTATTTTGCAGTATTTTTTTTAACTATAATTTCTACTTTTAAGATAACTTCTCAAATTAGGAATTTTGCCATATCTCTTAGTTAAGGCCATATTTTAAAAGTATCTTATATAAAAATAACTATTTAAAAGTTATTTTATGTGTTCGTTTAACTTTATTCAGTAATGTCTTTAAGAATTCTATTGACATCTTTCAGTCCATGAATATTTTGACTGTACATATTTCAAGTACAACATACTTAGAATGTCCTCACTAACAGGGTCCAGTGTTGTGTTATTTACATTGAACCTCAGGACATTTTTATTTGAATGATATTCTAAGGATCATCAAATTAAGGCAAGGAAAAACTAAGTATAAATCATTTTATTATCCTTTCAAGTAAATATGTTTTTACTTCATAAATATCACATTAATTTTTTTTGAATATTCCTTAAGTGCTCCAAATTTGGGGTGATGTACTAAATTTTATTATTCTAACTTCCTAGTTGATGAGCAAAGAAATACTGAGCTCTCCTGCAAATGATGCCGTTGGAGAATTAGAGCAACAGGTGGGTCCTTCGTGTGTAAAGAAAATACTGAAAACATTGATACAGGTTTTTGCCAATCACTATCATAAAGCTTACAAAAGAGAATTTCTGCCATGGAATTTATTTTATTTTACCGCAGGATCCCAATTGAATAGTATTGTGCATTTCTTCATGAATGTAAGCAGGGTTGGTTTCCAGAGTTTTTTGTGATGATGTTTGGAGAGTTGGGTGGTGGTGAACCTTTCTTTTGACACTTCTGATGTGTGTTGGACCCTTGCCGTATCGCTGTACAATTACAATTCTTAACAACTCTGCTCTTTTAATTTATCTAAAAAGACAATTGATTTTTGTCACCGTTGCTGTCCTCTCACCTGATGTTGAAGAAAATGCTCAGGGACACTGTACTGTCCTCATAGCTCCGGGCACTGCTTGTATTTCAGGGCTGGTCCCGGGGACAGGTGCTCTCTCCCCAGGGTTAACCCAGTCTGGGTTGGGGGTGAATTCATCAAGCACTGTATATGTTCTGTTTTTGGACATCTGTTTTTTCATGAGTGTCACCAGTCATCTCAAGGAGTATTTCACATTAAACTTTTTAAATAAAAATTTATTTATGTGTAAACATGCTGTGTGTTCTTTCTGAAAATTTTTCTTTTCCTGTGGGGAAACTAAACAGTGCCTTCTTTAATACTTTTAAAAATATTTCACCAGGATTTACAAAAAAAATTTTTTTCTTTGGGACCATAGACGTAAATGTTAATGATGCTACATAAATATTATTCACATACTGACAACAAAGTAAGACTCACTTTTAAAAAGGTAAATGGAAAAACTTAAAAACAATTCCTAGTATTGGTGCATATGTCTGTTGCAAGAAGAAATTTTTTTTTATTTGTATCATAACATAATTTACTAAGAATTTGGCCATTTTATGTTTCAGCTTAAAAAGGCCTTGGAAGAGCTTCAGGAAGCACTAGCAGAAAAAGAGGAGCTGAGGCAGAGGTGTGAAGAGCTGGACATGCAGGTGCGCCGGGGAGGCTCGGCCTGAGGAAGCCTTCTCACTACACTACAAAAAGTTTTTTAAATTGATTAATTGGTAATGTGTTTTTGTAGGTTGGATTTCATTTCATGGAGGGAACATAAAAAGGATTTCTTACAGGCTTGAATATTTGAACATGAATTTCATAAATATGTGGTATTTTTCTCTGACAGTTGAACATTGCTGGCCTAACTCTTCCTTTGAGAAAATCATTCTATTGATTGTAGACTTTCAACTATTTCCATCAGCACTCAGTTTTCTTTTTTTTTTTTTTTAAATGGTAAACTAAAGTCTCTACTTTGTAATATGGGCGTGATTATTGAGTGAGGTAATTTATAGAAGTATGTAGTGGTTCCTCACCCCCAGTGAATTCAAGTACGTGCTCTGTCTCACGCACGCACACGCATGTGCACACAAAGTCTTTCATGCCGAGTTTGAACGTGTGTGTATATAATTTCTGTGTTCTGTACTATGTTCAGGGCAATCATTTGATTGTACTGTTACTAGCTCAGATCGTGTCAGTGTGTCAAAGTACTGTCATTGATGTGATTCTACACTTAGGATGTTTTTACCCCTCCTAAGTCTCAAGCGAACAGCGTAAATGTACGGAAGGAAGCAGTTTAGCTGTCTGTTACGGACTCACCAACCAAGCGTGCTTGTTCCCCAAATATGAGATAATGTGACTGATAATTTTTGTCTATAAACCCAAACTGATAACTGTGAACATGCGTGTGTATATTTTGGCTTAGTAGGAGACAACATTCTCAAAATTAGTTTTTACCTTAAAACAATTAATTTTTTTAAGTGCTATTATCTGTCAAATTTTAGAGATTGAAAAACATTTTCTTCCTGAAATTAAGTCAAGTATAACACTTTAAAGATAGCCGTGCACTGTTTTCTTCATATGTGTATGGGTTGATTTGATTTCTTCTGTTTGATTCAAACCTTCTGGACTCAGCACTCGAGTTGGAAGGATCCTTAGAAATCACCTAGTCAAGCTGTTTAATGGCACAATCAGATTTAGAATCCAGAACTCTGGACTCTAAAAGGTTTTCTTGTTTGTTTGTTTTTTTGCTATTGATATGTATACTTGGATATTTGTTTTAGGTGACTGCACTTCAAGATGAAAAAAATTCACTAGTTTCTGAAAATGAGCTGATGAATGAGAAGCTTGACCAGCTGGATGGCTCTTTTGATGATCCAAATACAATGGTTGCAAAAAAGTATTTCCATGCCCAGTTACAACTAGAACAACTACAGGAAGAAAACTTCAGGTAGCACTGTTGGTAGAAATTACTTTGCAGTTCTGTCTCTTAAACTAGTAGCTAAAACACCGTAATATGAACAGCTAATTAGTAAGCCCACTTAGGCGGGTTTAGGACACTGAAATGGTTGAAGGTGGTGGGATATGTACATAAAAACAGAACATTTCAAAGTAACAAGTAATGGAGACCAAATCAAGGCCAAGGGCAAGCCAATAGGAGTTCAAGGCAGTGATCGTGAACGCCTGCAGAAAACGGGAAGTTTCTCCTATAGGAGAGGTAACTATAATAAATGGAAAAAATGTAAACCCTAAAGAGATGCTTTTCACTGGAACTTTTATATTTCGTCTTTTTAAGGCCATATAGTCTTATTTATTGTCACTTATGCTCATCCCTGAGCCTGCACTGTGCGACACTGAGAGGAGGTGCTCAGTTACCCTTCTCAGAGTTTTTTGTTACTTGATTTTGATGTGATTTCACATTCACAAAAGAAAGTTGCAAGGATACTTTAAGAAACTTCTTTACGCCTTCTACTCAGATTTGGCCGGTGTCTTACCTCATCATTTGCTTTACTAGTCTTGGTTTACATAGATATGCATGTTTTTTCTAAACCGTTGGAGAGAAACTGGAGAAATGCCTCTCTGCCCCTATATGCTGCAGTGTGTATATCCTGAAAACAAAGACAGTCTCTTGTTTTTAAACCACAGTATAATCAGCAAAATTAGGGAATTTTGTTTGGGGGACAATGTCATTATCTAATCCACACACCATATTCACTTTCCATCGGTTGACTCAGCGTCTTCATGGCTATTTTTTTTCCTGGTCCAGAGTCTAATTCAGGACCGTGCACTGTATTTGGCAATGAGTTCTTATGTAATGGATTCCCAGATTTGCCAGTGGGAAGCCTTTCAGTTGACCCTATGTCCATCCCACTTGTTCCACACACTTTCTTTCTGGCACTGTGAAATGTTCCAGATTCATCTCATCCTTTCTCAACTCTGGAATCAGCCATTTCTCCAAGGAACCCTGCTTCCTTTTAGTCAAGAATGTTACTTAGACACAAAGACCTATCTCTGAATTTTTTATCATTGCTTCCAGGCTATCTTGCTGGACAGAGCCAGGAAGTGTATTTGCCCAGGTCGATACTTGCTCGTGATCACATGTGCCCTCGTTGTCACACTCGTGTGTTCCTGTTTTCCTCCCTATAGTACCCATTTGCTCAATCTCAAAACACATAGATATTTAAGAATTATTAAATTCTGTAAAAAGCAAATTATTACTATAGATTAATATGTTTATAGTTCATATTTTTACAAATGTTTATATATTGTGAAATAAATAGCACAGTTCAATGTTAATCATTGCATACGTTTGTGCAACTCATGCATCTGCCAACATACAGGCTCTTATAGTCACCACAGAAAGTTGGCGTATGCATCTTCTCAGTAAACCCCTACTGCCCGAGACTAATTACCCTCCTAGATTACGGACTAGAACTGTCTGTGAACTGAGTTATGTGGCATATACTCTCTGTAGACTGGCTGCTTTTGCTTTCCTGTGTGTGAGATGTGTCTGTATTTTGAAATGTTCAGCAGTCCCTTCTGACCCACAGGGTTTATGTTCCAAGATTCTAAGTGGGTAACAGACGACCCTCCCTCTATATGCTACGCATGAATTTCCTTTTCCTTCTCCACCGTTTCACAGGTAGAAGGTTTATTCTTTCTGTAAATCTCGACCTTGGCACATGGTTTTTTAAAATTTCCATATTAAGTCAAGAACTTGCACCCCTTTCTTTAAAGGAAGCACTTTCTGGCTTCTGTTTGGCGTATAGGAATTGACAGCATCCTACTCTTGTGCCTTGGGGCCATGGTTCAGTAAAATAACGATTATTTCAACACAAGCACAGCAGTGTCTTGTAGTTGATCTGATAACCAAGATGACTATTCGTCTATTTTAATGAATCGTCTCTTTAGTCTGTTGGCCAACTTCAAAGTTGGGTGGTTTGCCTTTTTATTATTGAGTTGTAGGAGGCTTTGAGAAATATAATCTTACAAATCATTTGCCAGACGCATGTACAGTAAATGTATCACCCACTCTGTGGCTTACCTTTTCATTTTTAAGGGATGTCTTTCAAAGAGTTGAAGTTTTTAACTCAGAGGAAATCTAATATTTTTAAGGTCAGTGCTTTCTTATCTACTGTCTGAGAAGTCCTTGACTTCTCAGACATGAAGATACTCTCCAGATTTTCTCCTAAAACCGTCATACATTTATCTTTTACATTTAGCCCCATGGTCCATCTTGAATTATTGTTTTGAAAATGTTGTGAGCTGCTAGGATCAAGCTTCATTTTTTCCCATGTAGGTATCTAGCATATGGGTATGTACATGGGTGCGTCACCTGTTGAAAAGATTTTTATTTTACTCATCAAATCGCTTTGATAACTTTGTGGAAAATGATGTAACCATAACATTTGGGTCTTTTTTCTGGAATCTCAGTTCATTTCTGTTGATGCCTTGGTCTGTCTTTACAAGCCTTTTTGAGAACTGCATTGTCTGTAATGTTCTTCATTCGTGGTTTGTGGTTCTCCTTGTAGAGATCATTTAGCTCCTTGGTTAAGTATATTCCTAGGTGTTTTTATTTCGTCTGTAGCTGTTTGAAATGGAATTGAGTTCTTGATTTGATTCTTAGCATGGCTGTTATTAGCATATAGAAATGGTACTGAAGTGTGTATGTGACGTAACCTGAGACTTTGTTGTATTCATTTATTATTTATAGGACACTTTTAGAGGCGTCTGTGGGGTTTTCTAGATAGAAAATCATATTATTGGCAGAGATAAATTGACCTCCTCTTTTCTGATTCGGATGCCCTTTCTTGCATTTTCTGGCCCTAATGCTCTGGCTGGGACTTCCACTCATACGTTGCATAGAAGTGGTAAAAGTGGCGTCCTTATCTTATTTTAGTTCTTAGGGGACTGCTTTCAACATTTCCTTGTTCACTATGCTGTTGGCTGTGTGCTGGTGTCATTTTGAGGTATGATCCTCCTACGCCTAGTTTGTTGTGAATTTTTTCCATGGGGTGGTGGATTTTATCAAATGCTTTTTTATCTATTGAGGTGAACATGTCATATTTTTTGTTTTTAGTTCTGTTTATATGCTTAATCACATGTATTGATTTTGCATATATTGAACCAGCCTTGCATTTCTGGAATGAACCTGACTTGATTATAGAGGATTATTCTTTTAGTGTGCAGTTGGACTTGATTTGCTAGTATTTTGTTGAGGATTTTTGTGTATATGTTCTTGAGGGATATTGGTCTGTAGTTTTGTTGTTGTTGTATCTTTTCCTGGCTTTGGTATCAGGGTGATCCTGGCTTCACAGAATGCGTTAGGGAGGATTCCCACCTTCTCAGTGTCATGAAACAGTTTTAATAGGAAAGGTACTAGTTCTTCCTGTAGGTCTGTTAGTGTTTATCTGTGAATCCTTCGGGTCCTGACCAATTTGGGGGAAGTTGGGAGGTTTTTCATTACTGATTCAATCTCACTACTTGTTTTTTGGTCTGTTCAGGTTGTCTGTTTCTTTGTGATTCAAGTTTGGGAGGTTATATGTTTCCAAAAACTTGTCCAGTTCCTCTGGCTTTTTAGTTTATGTGCATAGAGGTGTTCATAGTCATCTTGGACATTTTTATTTCTGTGGTATCAGTTTCAGTGTCTCTTTTTTCATTTCTGATTGAATTTATTTGAATTCTGTTCTTTTCGTGGTTAATCTAGCTAGGGGTCTGTCAATTTTGCTTTTCTTTTCAAAGAACCAACTTTTTGTTTCATTGATCTTTTGTATTGATTTTCTGGTTTCAGTTTTGTGTAGTTCTGCTTTGACCTTTGTTATTTCTTGTCTTCTGCCAGTTTGAGGTCAAAATCTTGGTCCTTCTTGTTCTGCACGACAACATCTTCTCACAGGTTCTCCAATTGAGAATGACGCTTCCCTCAGTATTCCATCTGGGTTGTGCTTTTTCACCTGCAGCTTCTTCTGGGATGTCTAGTGACTGATGTCTCTAGTCAGCCAACTTGAAGGGAAATCGGTTTTATTTATTTATTTAGTTTTAAGATATGAGGTCTTACTTTGTCATCCAGGCTAGAGTGCATTGGCCAATCATAACTCACTGTAGTCCCAAACTCCTGAACTCACATAGATTTTTTAGCATGTTTTTTTATCAGTTTGTTTCTGGCTTGCGAAGAGGGTTTTTCTTTTCCATAACTGGGTGTTGACTTTTGTCTAAGGATTTTTCTGCATCTTAAAAAGGTAGTGTAGTTTTTCTTTTTTATTCAATGAAATATATTGCTTTTTGAACTTTTAATTTCAAAGATAGACTATTCATATTTTTATTGTCCTGTATTTGTATGACTAGATTCAGTGTGCTAATACATGCATATTAGATTCAGTGTGCTAATACATGCATAAAGAATTTTTGTAACTGTCTTTATAATGCTATTTTTCTGAAACTTTTTTCTCTTTCAATGTCTTTTTCAGAGCTTACTGTCAGAGTAAGAATTCTGCTAGTCTCAGAATATTTGAAAAGTATTCTTTCCTTTATTTCTGAAGGAGTTGATGTAAAAATAGTAATTTCTTTCTTAAATGTTTGAAAAAACTTATCAGTAACACAGTTTGGGCCTATACTTTGTTTTGTGTTTTATGGAGGGGATTTCCGTGAGGAATAAAAGTTCCTTAACGGTCGTAGGACTTTTCAGATTTCCCATTTCATCTTGTGTCAGTTGGGTGAGTTGTATTTTCAGTGTCATTTATTTTATTTAAGTTGTTGGATTTATTAACAGAAAGTTGTTGATGACTTTTTTTTTGTCCCTAACATTCTTTGACTGCACTTTAATAACTACTGAAGCTTGTTCACATCAATAACTGCTGAAGCTGATTCACATCCTCTTTTCCACTCCTGACTCTGCTTGTGGATATCGCTTATGTTTGCTTTCATTTTTCTTGACCGCTCTTGCCTGGGGTTCATGAATTTTATTAATCTTTCAAACACCCATTATTGGCTTTTTGGATTATTAGTTTTAAAGCTCTGTTCTTTATTTTTTCCCTATAACTACTTTGGATTTAAGTTTCTCTTCCTTTTAACTCTCAAGATTGAAACTTAGTTCATTGATTTCTTAAGCTTTCCTTAATTTCTAACGTGAACCTTTAAAACTTTCTCTCTAAATACTGGCTTTACTAAGTGTCCCCCAAATTGGATTGGTTGTCTTCTTGTTATTGTTTAGTTTGAAAGATTTTCTGAATTCCCCCATGACTTCTTTATTGATATGTGGGTTGTTTGGAATTATATTGTTTCATTTCTAAGTAATGCTTTTCTAGACTTAGATAACTGATTTCTAATTAGCCTGTATCATTAGAGAACATAATCCTTGAAATTTTAGTTTTTTGGGATAGATCAGTATATATTTTATTGCTCATTCTATGTTTTATTGTGTGAAGTATTATATTTATGTACTTGCAAAATATGTGTGCCCTGTAATTTTGCCTATTGTAGTAAGCTGGTTAAAATATTATTCACATCTTTTCTGTATTTTTAGTGATACATTTTTGATTAATTTCATTTATGTGGAGACTAGCATTAAACAATTTCAGCAACGATTGTAGATTTGTAGATTTATACCTTTGGTTTTATGAGTTTTTATTTCATGTATTTTAAAACTCCATTTTTAGTTATATATACATTTATGATAAATCTTTATAATGAATGAGCTGACTCTTTTGTAATTATGTAATGTCTCTATTTTGGTAATACTTTTTATCTTAAAACTTATTTTGTTATTAATATAAGCACCCCAGCTTTCTTTGCTAAGTGTTTTTATTGCATTTTTTTCTATCTTTTTACTTTCATATATGTTTTTATATTTAAAAGGTATCATATAATTGGCAAATATTTGAGCCTTACTTTTTTATTCAGTTTGATGGCCTCTACTTTTAAAATTCTGTGTTGTGTGTATTTACCTTTTATGTAATTACTGCTGTGACTATATATATGTACACTTTGCTATTTTTTGTTTGTTACACTTCTTTTCTTTTTTCCCTTTCTGCTTTCTTTTGGATTAATCAGATAATTTTTAATATTTTGTTTTAATCACTGTATTGTCATTTTAGTTTTTCTCATTCTGCTGTTTTGAGAATTTCCCCTTCATTCATCACAATCTACATGGAGTCTGTATTTTACTACTTTACAGGCTATGTATATTTTAATACAAATGTCCTATAGATCTCCTCTTCATCTTTTGAAGTTAAAATTTGTTAGAACTAGGGATAACTAAGTATGGTGTTTCAGAAGTGAAAATGAAAGTTTATAACGTGTAGTTTATTCTCATGTCTGTTTCAAAATTTATAGCTGAAAAGTATCTTATTCCTGTAGTCTTTCCCCTTTTGTATGTAGATTTTTTAAAAAGAATTCAGTATGTCCTCCTAAGCTTATGCCCCATTTAGAAAACAAATGGTGAAAATTATATTATAAACATTTATTTTTTCTGTTCAAGGCTTGAAGCTGCAAAAGATGATTACCGTGTTCACTGTGAAGAGCTTGAAAAGCAGCTGATTGAGTTTCAGCACAGGAATGATGAGCTGACCAGTCTCGCTGAGGAGACAAGAGCCCTGAAAGATGAAATCGATGTTCTGAGGTATGGCGCATCTAACTAATAATGTATAATTACGTTATTTCTAAGTCATTATTTAGTCAATTAGAGCATTTCGTATTTTAATCAGAGACTTTCAGTTTTATCCCTGTGTGTTGGGTATTGGCCAGTCTTTATCTAGGCTCCCAGCCTTTACTTATTTATGCTTGTTGATTGGAATTGCTGAGTTTTTTGCTTTACTTATTTGGATTTTGTTTTGTTTTGAGAACAGAGTCTCACTCTGTTGCCCAGTCTGGAGTGCAGTGGCCTCATCGTAGCTCACTACAACTTCAAATTCCTGGTCTGAAGTGACCTCCTGTCTTAGCCTCCCAAGTAGCTAGGACTATAGGTGTGTGCCAACATGCCCAGCTAATTTTTCTATTTTTTTTCATAAAGATAAGGTCTCACTCTCGTGCTGGCTAGTCTTGAACTCCTGGTCTCAAGCTATCCTCTACACTTTGGGTTATAAAAATGCTAGGATTACAGGTGTGAGCTACCATGCCTGGTCCTAAAATCATCTTTTGTGGATAATATTCAACTCTTGTTCCAACAGTTTGACATTAGAATCCATAAACCCAATGAGACCTTTTTCTTAAAATTTTATAAACTAAATTAATTCTAAGATGATACTTAGCTTGACCTTCTTTTATCCTTTATTATATTTTATGAAGTTTTTTGTGTAAAGAAGTGTATTCTTAATTCCTATTTTGGCATTTGATAAAATACAGGTAAATATAGACGAGAATCCTAACCTGTATTTCAGAGAGGATTGTTTTGGCAGTTCTTACTATTTAGCCTCTGTCTGTGAAACGTTACTCTTTATGATTTCTGTTAATTTTTTGCATTTTCAATACCAATTTAACACAATATTTATAACCCTTAATTTGGGCCTGCTTGTGGTAGTGAAATGCTTTGCTTTATTTATTTATTTTGGTTTAGCACACTCTAAAGGGAGTTTCCCCACCAGACAAATTTATAAATTGAGGCACCTTCCTAAGTACAGTATATCAAATACAGCAAACTGTGTTGAATGATAACCCCTAAAGCAAGGTTGGCCCACACTGTAATGTGGTTCAGAATGTTCAATTCCATGTCTCAGCCCATTCTTTTTTATACATAGTGCTAACATATAAAACAGTTTGATATTTGGATGTGTCAAATTTGAAGCATTTTTATTCTGAGAGTTTTATAACAAAGGGGTTAAACTGTAGATGGTTCTCCGCCTGTGTCTGTATTCAAAGGTCTCAGAAAGTTTACAAATTCTCCTCCCTCCCTCCCTGCCTGCCTTCCTTCCATTTCACAGCCAGAATGAACGTGGGAGCCTGTATTAGTTTTTATACAGTAATGCTTAGTCTCCATCATTACAGGGCTACTTCAGATAAAGCAAATAAACTGGAGTCAACAGTTGAGATCTATCGTCAGAAGCTGCAAGATTTGAATGACCTTCGCAAGCAGGTGAAAACTTTACAGGAAACCAACATGATGTATATGCACAACACAGTCAGCTTGGAAGAGGAATTGAAGAAGGCCAATGCGGCCCGCACACAGTTAGAGACATACAAAAGGCAGGTAAGGAAATTGCTTGATTTTTAATTGAAAACATTGAAAGTTCACCTTGGTTATTTCATGTGATCCTGTATGAATGATACAGATATGAAGAAGCATCACGTATAATAACCTGTGAACTGACTCTGATGAATTGCCTCTCTCTGTTATTTTAATTTAAGGGTTGATAATTGAATTTAAGTTATCCGAGTCTTTCTCCTTTCTACTGCCTTCTGAACTATTTTTTTTTTTTGAGATTTAAAAGACCGGAGCCGATATGAGATAAAGTATTCTCTCTTGCTATTTATTAAAAACAGCGTTAGAATAGAAACTTAATATATTTAATTTTTTTTGGTTACATTATTATTTGACTATTTTAAATTTTATGTTAATTCTTCTTATCTATGTGCTAATTTCCACAAATATTCAGAATTAGACTGTAATTTTAATGTAAACATTTTATTTTCAGCTTTCTCATTGACTCAACTCTGAAAGGCCGTCAATGTACTGTTGTTTTTTACTTTTGTTTTTGACTTAAGGTTCAAGATCTTCACATTAAGCTTTCCTCTGAATCCAAAAGGGCAGACACACTAGCATTTGAAATGAAGCGGCTTGAAGAAAAACATGAAGCTCTACTTAAGGAAAAAGAGGTAAAAAGAAGTGTAATCAGTAAGGAATAGGTCATTCTTATTTCAGTTTTGGTATTACCCTGGCCGTTCTTAGAAGGGTAGTGATGTCAGGGAGTTCTGCCTTCCTCCAAATTGAAACTTTTGATATAAAACAGTGTTTTGTAAAAGTGACCCTCACTTCTTCCTTTAATTTTATTGGCTCACTTCATAAGGGAGATGAAGTCACAGAACTAAGCTCCTATGTTTTGATACATGCTTTCTAACTTGACTGTCAGTTTCTTGAGAGCAAGGACTATTGATAACTTCCTAGAGTTTTATTAAGATACAGTTGACATACTATAAATTTCACCTACTTAAGTAAGTCAGCGGTCCAAGTATATTCACAGAGTCTGCGACCATCACCATAATCAAATTTTATAACATTGCCGTCATTCCATAAAGATGCCCCAGGCCCACTGTCTCCTGCCCTGGTCTTAACGACTGTTGGTCTCCTGGCTGGCTGTTGACTTTCCTGCTCTACCTAGAATATGTAACCATGTAACCGTCCACTGTGTGGTTTTTGTGACTGACCTTTCAAGTTTCGCATCCATGTTGTAGGGTGTGTCAGTGCTTTATACCTTTTATTGCTGGATGATTGTTGTTTAGATGTGCTATGTTTGTTTATCCATTCATCCATTCACCACGGTATGGATGTTGGGGCTGGTTCCGCTTTACGGCTGTTAGAATAATGCTGCTGTCAAGCTTTATGTACAAGCTTTCATGTAGATATGTTTTTTATCTTTTACTGCATTTATTTTTATTCTAATTGTTACTAATTCTTTGATAAAGGAAACAAATTCTTTTGTATTTAGAATGTTTTTTCTGATTTCTTAAGGTGGAAAATTAGGTTATTGATTTGAGATATTTTTCTCTCATTTTCAATATGTGTTTACAACTATAAATTTCTCCCTTAACATTTTTTTTAACTGCATTCTGTATGTTTTGACATACTGCATTTTTAAAAAATTCTTTTGAATATATTTTTAACTTCCCTGAAGATTTCTTAGCCCTCCTTAAGAGTATCCTGTTAAATTTCCGCATTTGTGAATATCCAAATTGTATTGTGTCATTGATTTCTCATTTAATTCTGTTATGATCAGAGAACATGTTTTGTGTGATTTCAGTTTTCTTAAATTTATTGAAACTTGTTTTATGGTCTACCGCAGCGGTTCTCAACCTGTGGGTCGTGACCTCTTTTTAACAATAAAAATACATTGCGGCATTAGGAAGGTTGAAAACACTGGTCTACGGTCTCTTTTGGAGAATGCTCCATGTCGATTTAAAAAAACTGTGTACATGTATTCTGCTGTTTGTGGGTACTTTATATATGCCTGTAATCTGCATATTCTCTCGTGCTGTTCAAGTCTTCTTTCTGCTCTCAAGTCTACTGCTGAATCCATCTGGTAAATTTTTCATTTTATTTATTTTACTTTTCAATTCAGAATTTCTAATTGGTTTATTTTAAATAAATTCTCTTAAACTGTATTTGTTCAGATATTTTCACAATTTCTCTTAATTCTTCACACTTGGTTTGCTCTAGGTTTTTGAACTTCAATTGTCATACTTACAACACACCGTGTAGAGTACCTACCCGCTGGGTCACCTCACTGGCTATTTCTGTGCACTGCGTTTTTCCCCCTGTTTATGGGCTTTCCTGTTTTCGTGTTGTGTATTTTTATTGAAAATCTAACATTTAACATAGTATTTCAAATCTGGAAATCAGATTTCTCCCAAACTCAGTGTTTGTTATTGCTGTTTTTATTTTTTTAAAGTGACTTTTTGAACTGTCGAGCCTGCATTCTTCGTATCATGTAGCCACTGAAGTCTCTACTCAGTTACTGCTGTCGTTAGTTCTTGATTACTTAGAGATTATCAGCGACGCTTTGAACCAATAGCTTTCATAGCCTTTGCCAGAGGACTCCGTGTGGGTGTTAGAAAAATATCCTTAGTGTTTGGACGGTTTAAAACTCTGCCTTTGCTTTTATTTGCTGTTTGCAGAGGGCATCACATTGGAGCCAAGACGCTGGGCTCCTCTCAGGTTTTTTCTGGGCATGTGCAGGGCCCTGCACATAGCCGGCCTCTTAGATTTCCAGGAACATGTCAGGCTTTTCAAAGCCTCCCATGGGTATCCTATTCTTCGGATCTTTCTTACAAATTTTTTGCTGGGTTAAACAGCGACAGTTCTCTGAAGAAGGGGCACTGTAAGGGGAGCTCCACATTCAACCTTCCCTGTGGTTGGTGTTTAGGTCGTTGGTTTTCACAGCTACAGACTGAGAGGCTGCTGGTTTTCTGGGCTCCCATGTTATGGTAACAGAGAGGAGAATGGTAAAAAGGCAAGTTAAAAGAACAAAAAGCTTACTCTTCTAACCAAGGTTTAGCAAGTTTACATCAATAAATGCTCCTGAGATTGTGGTAGGCTTTTGGTTTATCTCCAGAGTTCTAAAGAGTTGATATTGATATATTTGCCAGTGTCTGCATTGTATTTACAGAGGACCAGATTTACACAAGTCTTTGTGCTTGCCCTTAGTTATAACTTAAGGGTGCCAGGATCCCTAGGACATCTGTGAACTCCAACCTGAGGACCCCTTGACTTAGCTACCATTTTACTGTTAGATTGATTTGAGCCACTTAATCAACTAGGTAAGGTTTTATTCATTGATTTGGAACATAACATTTATATAGAATTTTACATCAGAAGTACTTTTCAATTTCTGGGAAAATGAGTTAAGCATGAGTCTTTTGTCTAGATATAGAAGTTTGTCATTGGTATAGGTTCTGAATTAGTCAGTGTTGGGAAGTGCTGGTGAGACTGCATTTTTCTCTTCCTGGTTGAGTTCTTGGTCTCGGGAATGCAGGGATGAATTCATGGGCCACAAGTCAGCAGAAGCAATAGGGCAACAGTTTATTAGAAGATAGGAGAGTTCCCAACAAAATGAAAGGGGTCCTGAAGCGGCTGCTGCTGCAACTCAGCTGGGTGTGGGTATTTGTGCCTTGTCTCCCTCTGAAACCTGTTTGTTTGGGTCCTTCAAACCTCGCTGGTTTACATTGATTGGCTTCTTTAAACGGTAATTGACTGGCCCTGTATTTGCACTGGGCGCTTTTTTTGCCCCATCCCCAGGGAGAATTCCCTCCTCTGGGCTTGCTCTGTCTAGCAACGTCCAGTGACCAATGGCTGCACGGGTCACTGGGAAGGAGTCCCCGTTCTTCTCCGTGCCCATATCCCAGTCTCTGCTTAAAGCCTTCTCACTCCTTTCCCTAGTAAGCTGTCCTCAGGAAATGATGCATTTCCATGAGTTCATACTGCCAGCTACTTAGCACTCTTCCAGTTGAATTTCACAGTTGTCTAAAGAAGTAACTAGTCTCCCCAGATGCACGAATCAGCATTCCCTTTTGACTATATGGAGACTAAATTCCAAACGGTGAATGACTTGCCGGGATACTCTAGCTGGGAAGTAGTGAAATGAAGTGAAACCATGGTCTTTATGCCTGCAAAGTCCATGTCTGTTACCACCTTAAGTTGTATTTTTGTACTCTGTTGCATAATTGCATTCATTTTGTTCAAAGATAAACTATCTGATTAGGGAAATCACAAGCCATGTGTTGAAAAGACTATTGTTTATGTAACTTATGCAAGAGAGAAGGAGGCTTTTACAACTGAAACATTGTGATTTTTAATTAACCAGGCAACAATTATCAAGCTCACTAACTTGTTACGGTAAATTACTGCAAGCATAAGTATACTGTTTATGGGCAGAATCAAATGCTTTCCTGACATCAACAATTCTTTTGTAGAGACTAATAGAGCAGCGAGATACTCTGAAAGAAACGAATGAAGAGCTTCGATGTTCACAAGTACAACAGGATCACCTAAACCAAACAGGTGAACTGGACAGACTTAGAAACTTTCAGTAGTCACAGTATAGGAATGCTTATGGCTTGTGTGTTTTTTTGTTGTTTAGATGCATCTGCTACAAAGAGTCATGAGAATCTGGCTGCTGAGATTATGCCGGTGGAGTATAGGTAAATTTGTTCCTGATAATCCACACTTAATATTATAAGTGATGTTTTTGGTAAATTTCTTAGCCTTTAAAGACTTTTCGTTTTATGTGTCATCAAACTGAAAATTACTTTGTCTCATTTGTTTAAACTTTCTAAATCAGATTATTGCTACTGCAACAATTTAACATTTATCAGAAGTTTCACAGCCTTGTTCACAAACATATTTAAGTTTTTACAACATGTCCTTTCTTGCTAGATAGTGAGGTCATGCGTCTGTGGTGTGAGAAAAAGTTAGTGTCTGAAAAAAAAGGAAAAAGAAAAAAGAAAAAAAAGTGTCTGAAATTGATGCAACACAAAGTCACTTTGGTCAGAAAGTCACTGGTGGGTTAAGTTTATCATTGAAAATTGTAAAACTATTAGCGGACAAAACTCAGTATAACTAACATCTGAAGGTGGAAGTGGCAAATGTGTAAAATGAGAAGTTGCTTATCTTTCTTAGTGGGAGGCTAATCATGATGCTAAAGTTAACGATTTTAAAAAATAGCCATATAAGCTTATTTTATAGGGTTATTGTGTTGGCATTTGGAAGACTCGGGATGAATTGAAATGAGCGGCTCTGAGTACTGAGATTTTGTAGGGGGGCAGTAGAAGAGTATTACTTTCTATTTAATAATGTTTGCATTTTAGAAAACAAATGGATATAAATCTTTAATAATTTTTTTTCCAAAAACAAAAAGATCTAGAAACTGATTACCATCATAAAACTTATTTTAAAATGTTAGACAAACTATAGTTTCTTCAATCTTTTGCTTTTTATTTATGTATTTTCTAAGAATATACTATTTCCTTTAGTTAGTAAATTACCAAGTAAATTAATTCATATTGTCTCTTAAACATTTGCATAATAATCATTTATTAACTTTAGCATAATCCTATACCAGAACCATTAAAACTTTACTATTTATTTTTGAGGTTCAGTCTTGTAGTGTATATAATTTTTTATAAAAACTTTCAGAAGTCTGGTTACATTTTGAGGGTCTTATGCTCTTACTGATAAAGATAGTCAGGCTTAGTTCAATTTTAAAATGATAGTGATGGAGTGGACAGGAAATTCAGTGTGTGTACGTGTGTGTGTGTGAAGAATACGATGACTCATATTTTTAAAAATTGAAAATAAATTTTCCTTTTTAACCTCAGGGAGGTGTTTATTCGACTGCAACATGAAAATAAGATGCTTCGCTTACAGCAGGAAGGTACCGAGAATGAGCGTATTGAAGAACTTCAAGACCAGCTGGAACAGAAACACCGCAGGATGAATGAACTGGAGACCGAGCAAAGGTGACCTGCTCGTCCATAATCGGAAGTCTTGGTGATTTAGTGACCTAGACTCCAAATCTTGACTCACCCAAGTGGAAAATATCCTGGTAGCTGAAGTATTATAATTAGAACTGCCTGGAAGCAGGTTGAAGGTTTTGTTCCTAGTGTCTCACCACTGCAAGCTTCACTGCACGAAAAAAGGAAGTCAAGTGATTCATTTCGGTCACATTATTATAAAATACATGGGCATCAGTTTTAGGAGACGTGGTTACCCAGCTTGCTTATTCTTGACCTGCATTTAAGTATCTTCACAACTGAGAAAGTTTAAGAAATGACTACTTTCTACTGAAGTCTGGTGCCTAGGTGGGACTCAGATGGTGGAGTCACGTGGGGTCCCACCTTTAATCCACTTAACTGTGATTTCCCACAAAATCACCCACACACCATTTCGAGGCAGGTTACTTAATCTCATACTCAGTGTTTTCAGGTATAAATTCCAGATCGGAAGACCACAGATAATCTGTTTAAAGCAATGGGGTGCTTGTGTGGTATTGATGATGTGCTTAACAAGTGAGAAGAAGAATATGTAACATTGTGCAGTGCCTGTTATGTGCCAGGTCCTATCGTAATACTTTGTTGGTATTAACTCAATAAATTCTCCTCGTAACCGTATGAAGTAGTAAGAATGGATAAGGAAGAGGAGATCAGGGAGGGTGACTGGATTACCCAGCGTTACACGGCTAGTATGTTCTGGATCCTCTACTGGAACTCTGTCGGTGGCTGAGTATGTCCTCTTAGCTACTGTGCTAACCTGTGCTCATAAGTGGCACACGTGATAAAGGTATTTAGATTTATTTATCCAACTGTTATTGAATTTTAGAGACCAGTCAGAAATTTTAGAGTTACTTGACCTTGTCTGCTCAAATTTGTCAGTATATTGTTATGTTAACTGCTATTCTATTTAAAAAGACTAGCATTTTAGCTTTCTGAAGAGATCATTAATTATTACTATACTGTACAGTTCAATGGTAGTTGTTGGCCCTGGAAATACTAAATTTCAGCTTTTAGGGAATTAATATAGGACAAAAGGCATGTGAATAGATTATTACTGTGTTATATGATAACTGTAACAATGGACTGTTGGTGGTGGGTGTGTGTCATATATATGAGTGCATATACCAGAGAGAGAGAGAGAGAGATGGGGGGAGAGAGAGAAATATGGAGGGAGAGAGGGAGAGATGGGGAGAGAGAGAGAAAGATGGGGAGAGAGAGGGAGAG